GGGGGGGGGGGCAGGAAGGCAGGCGCTCGCCGCTCCCGCCCAGTAACGCCGCTCCGGTGTCTCCCCGCAGGCCCAAGCCTATTCTGCTCTCGGGCTGCAGCCCCTCAAGGAAGGACTCGAGGAGGACCGCGGTGAAAGGGAGCCCGGGATGGCCGATCTGACGAAGGCCCGCCCCGAGAAGATGGAAGCGGAGTCAGGGAGAGGATGGACTGATGATCCCTGGACCGCACCAGGCGGCCCCGCCAGTCCGGTACCTGGTCCTGGAGTTAGCGAGCAGTCCCGATCGCGCCTCAGCTCCGCCTCCTTAGTTTATGGCCTCGCCGCCGCCAGGCCGGTTGCTGGGAGGGAGGTACGCTACGTGCCATGCGCAGTAGACGGGCCCCGGGAAGCGGGCGGAGAGCTCCGCCCCGCTCCGCCCACGCGAGTACCGGAGCCCCGCCCTTCTCTGCCAGGCCCCGCCCACGCGCTGCGGAAGCTCCGCCCCTCCCCGCTCGGCCCACGCGTATGGGAAGCTCCGCCTGGTTCCCTGCGCGCCGCTCTGGGGCGGGTCCGCCTTGGCTCTCGCGTGCAAGTTCCCTCATTGCGCACAGCGAGTACCTGAGGGCCGTCTGTCTCCAACCGGAGGGAGCCGTTTCCCCAGGTGGGTGGAAGCCGAGGACCTGGCCTGCCGGTCCGAAAGGGGCCCCCCCAAACCTCTGCCCCCGCAGCAGGAAGGAAATAGAATGATTTCAGTGATGAGTTAAGGGGGCGAGACCGAGGCCAACCGACACTGGCTGCTGACTTGGCTACTTAGAGGATTGTAACTTCGTGTGGTAGGACTTAAATGGAAAAACCTGTCGGACGCTTAATTTAAAATTGACTTTAGGGAGAGGAAGGGGGGAGAGGAACATGGGTTTGTTGTCCCACTTACTGATGCATTCATTGGTTGATTCTTGGATGTGCCCTGCCCCGTGGCATGGGGGCCATGCTCCAGCCAGCTGAGCTACCCCGCCAAGACACATTTTTTTCAAAAAGACATCTCAAGTGCCCCTCTCTTTGGCCTCTCCAGCAACAAGCTGACAGGCTGCAAAGTGGAAACCCACCGTTTCTTTGTGCTTCAGGTTACTTATGTGTACAAGGAGGAAAACAGCTCAACTAATGGGAACTATCATTTTTGTCCTTCTGGATCTTTCCCCCCCTCCATCCCTCCTCATCTGCAACTCCAAGGACACGCTCTGCTTGCGGAAGCCTGTAAAGGTCTGCCTTGATGAGGAAGCCAGCCTAAGCCCACGCGGGCAGGGCTTGAGAAATGATGAAGCAATCTCAGGTGATGGAGCAAGACTCCTTTCTAAGACTGAGTTTTTGTTGTTGGTTTTTTGTTTTTCCCCAGTGACTTACTACAACCACAGGGGGTGGGGGTGGGGGTGGTGTCCAAAATTGGATATATATTGGATATATAGTATAACAAACACTAGCTCTCCCTAGCTCTGACCCTTGATACAGATTTATATCGGTCTAACTTACATCCGAACAGGGGCAGATGGAAATATGTTGAGACTGAAGGTGAACTGTGCCTCAAGACAGGCACCTCAAGATCTCATTCAATTTTACATACAGCACTTTGATCTTATCTAGTTAGTGCTTTAACATTCCAAAGCACTACTCTCATTATTATCTCATTCTCAGAATAAGATGCCTCTCTCAGCAGCAAACTTGGTAAACTGACAAAGCAAAAGCAATATAGTAGCAGACATTGAAGTAAAATTCTTGACAGTGTTCTTTTTGAAAAGACCTTCTTCGCATGTGGTCTTTGAAATTTGGAATACTAGAGAAGTCAGTGCCTGCAAAGATGCCAAACTCCATGCAGCCATCACATTGGGGAATTTAAACGTGGAGGGACTTCCCATCTGTTTTAATACCTAGCCCAGTAACTGTCATTTTCCATGTGGATATCAGTCTACCAAGGGGGCTAAAAGATCTCACTGTCTTCCTGATTATCCACAAAAGCTGGAGAAACTTTTGGTCCAGACTCTGTTGTGTTTCAAGGAGAAAAGTTCTATTACCTTTAGTTTTCCTTGCAAAAGGGCAACCTAAATCCAGGTAATTTAGAAAACCATTGTAATGAAAGGTGAACTTTCAGAGTTTACAAAGTCAGTCTCTTCCTGTTTCACTTTTTACTTGTTATGAGCCCTGGGATGCACAAGCACCCTAATGCTCTTCACTTATTTATAATAGGAGTTGGGACTCTCCAAGATTTCCGGAGCTTTCTGAAACTGGCTTGAAGCCTAGAGGAATGGAGATGGACAGAAGATCCTGTCTTGTGTTAAACTCTGAGCATCCAGTTTAAGCTAAGTGCGCTGCCCTCTTCAAGATACCACATAAATTAACTGAGAGGTAAAACTAATAGTCTAGAATACTCAAGTGAAATGCTTGTGAAGTGTAGTTTAACAAATTGAGGATTTTTTAAAAAATATATGTATTTATTGATTCAGAGAGATGGAGAGGGAGAGAGTTGAACTATCAATGATGAGAGTCATTGTTCTGCTGCCTCCTGCATGCCCCCCGTTGGGGATCGAGCTGCACCCCAGGAATCAAACTGTGACCTCCTGGATCCTAGGTTGATACTCAACCACTGAGCCATGCCCAGCCAGGCAAATTGAGGATTATTTAATTTGCATATCATTTTATAATGTCAAAGCACTTTCTACATGTTACCTAATATGATCCTCTGAACAGCCATTTTAGATAATTAATGCACACTTATAGAAGAGGAAACAGACTTGCTAAAGTACTAGGACAGCATCTGGGTCCCTGCCCACAAATCCAGGGCTCTTTCCTGAAGCAGAAAACTGGCTTCAGTTCTAACTTTGCTACTATAGTTTTGCTAAGTGATGCAGTTACATGCAAGAAAAAGATGCAAAAGAAAGCTATTTAAGTTGCAAATGTGGTCGCAGAGCAGTTAGGAGTTCTCTCTCAGGCAGAGTTGATGCAATAAATAACCCAGGCAGATGTAGTATTACCTGATTTCCAAAAACTCCCATGGAACTACTTAAAAATGCCTGGGTGCCTTTTAAATAAGTGTTACATTACTTGATTAAAACCAAATAGGTGAAATGGAAGAGGTCAGTTTATTTTAAATGATGAACATAAAAACTAATAATATCCATTGAAAGTGGTATAGTAGTAGACACAAGGTTCACTCCTTCAGAAAAAAAAAACTTTCTTCTGAAAATGGTATTACTTCCCAGTTCATGGAGTTGAGAAAATGGCATTCAACTTGTACAACTTTCTTCCAAATGCAAAATAAATTTTTTGAGTTTATAGACACTGCTTTAAATAATTTTCACATTGCCCATTCCTATTGGATGAGTGGAATGAGAATACCAATGTTTTTCTTTGGTCTAAGTCCCATCTGAAAAGAGTTTCACGTCTAGTTGCTTGACAGGAAAATATTCTATTACTAAGGAAACAGAATTATAAACTATTATCCTCCCCCCCCAAAAAACCCCAACAAATTTTGCAGATAAAGTTAGAGAACTCTGAAAGTATCTGCTTGGTTCCACTGGGAGAAACTCAAGAGTAAAGCAAAAATGCACCACTTGGAAAATAGTCCTAGATGATACCTTATACTTTAATTTTTATTATTTTATATTTTTAGAGAGACAGAAATATGGATTTGTTGTTCCTTATTTATGCATCCACTGGTTGATTCTTTTATATGCACTGACCTGGAATCGAACCCGCAACCTCGGCATATCTAGACAATGCTCTAACCAACTGAGCTACCCTGCAAGGGCACATTTTTATTTATTCAAATTATAAGGAAACAAGTTACCGAAGCAATGAAGGACCCTTGGAGCTTAAGAGAGGGAAAAGCAAAGGCAGTGGGCTTTGGGGGAAGAAGGGGGGAAAGGGAAAGGTGCAGGAGTGCTCTGAAGAGGGAGAGCACCTGTAACTTTTTTTTTAAATCCTCACCCGAGGGTATGTTTTATTGATATTTTAGAGAGAGGGAGAGTGAAACATCGTTTGGTTGCCTCCTGACTGGGGGTTGAACCTGCAGCCTAGGTAGGTGCCCTGACTAGTAATCGAACCCACTACGTTTTGGTGCCTGGGACAACGCCCAACCAATTGAGCCACCTGGCCAGGGCACGACCCTAACATTTTTAAAGTGCTGTAGTTCAGAAGAGCAGTTTACAGATACTCTCTCTTGGTGCTGACATACCTGTGAGGTAGGCAGAGAAAATAATTACTATCCTCATTTTGTAGAAGAACAGAACAGAGACTCAAAGACGTGACATGCCCAGAGTCAAATGATTCTTTATTGGTTTCGTTGGCACTAAGAGCCAGGTTTTCTTTTCCAGTCCAGCGCTTGTTGTAGCGATGCTAAGTGCCCAGGCAATACAGACAAGATTGGAGGGCTTAGTGGTTTTCCAATGTGTGACAGTCAACAAGATTCTCTTCTCTCTGTCCTCTCATTCTTAGGAGAGAGAATGGTGTCCTAACTCAAGAGGCAGACTTCAGAGAGAAGCCCGTTAACATATGGAACTCTAAAAATACAAAGCATTTAAAAACGAACTGACAATAACTAAGGGATTCTTGTCAAAGCCAACTCTTTTGAAGGAAAAGCATTTCAGTGCTGATTTTTATTGAACAGAGAAAACATTCCTATGGGCTTATAATGTTGTAGGGAAACCCCAGAAAAGTAAAGGCGGCACTCTGAGATTTTTGTCAATGAGTTTAATATATGTCCATAGGTTACCATTCATATGAATGTTTAAATTACAAAATTAGCTGCCATGGTCCAAATGTGTGGGACTTTAAGAAAGATTTTATTAATCAAAAGATAGCTAAGCATATCAATTTTGATTTCTAAAATGTAGTTTAAAGGTTTGTAAAACAAGGCTAATTCTAGAATTATATAGCATTAAATTTTGTTATTTTTATTTTAATAACTTAATTTTATGAACTGTTAAAAAAGTTACATTTGCATCCTCCCAGTTGACGCATTTCTGCATTAACCTAGAGAAAAACCCATGTGTAAAGTTTCCATGCAGTTACAAAGGAAGCAGCACATTCTGTTTCCACAGCAACTTGTTACTGCCTCAGAACACACCTGCACATAAAGCATCAGCGAAAAAACACCTGCCCACCCCTCTCCCACCAAAAACCCAACCCTTTCCCATCCCCAGCAAAAATTACCTGGTAAAGCAGTGACTTTAAAAAAAATGCTTTCTTAGTAGGAAGCATTTATAAAATGCAGAGATCTGAACAAGCTAAATGCTCGTGCAGACAGATGGGCCTCTCCCCCAGGAGTTCCTTCAAGAGTCAGGCAGAACTCTCAATAGTTTAGGAAAGCTCATTTTAAAAAGTGTATTTATGCATATTCATGGCTATTTCTCTGAAAGAATATATCCAGCCTCAGCTGTGGAAGAGATAAAAGCAGGAGAAGCAAAGGGACACAGCCACAACATACAGAACGGAGCTTCTCCATGGACATCCAACCAAGAAGGAAAACATCTGCAACTTCATGTAGACCACTCATCTGCCCTGGGTGAAGCAGGTAATTTTTCATGCATTTGTTACTCAAGAAAAACATACAACCACTTAAATTCACAATGTCATTAGCTTATGGTATCAGGCAAGGAGAAAACTGCTCCTGTACTCCTATCCCTAGAATTTTCCATGTACATGGCAGTGCTCTAAAATCTACAGATATCCTGTAATACTGACATCAGCACCCCCACCTACAAAACATACAGTGAACTACACTGTTTTGAGTCCCTGAAATTTCAATACCACAGATAGTGTTCTAAGGTGGTTGTTTTTTTACAAGTTTAATGTAGACACAGAAGAAAACACCAACATTTATTGTGCAATTCCAACAGTTATTTGTGGAATCTTAGTTTAGGGTCATACTTTATAGCCATTTCGACTGCCTAGTTTAAACACAAAACAACAATCTAATTGTATATCTATAAATTCATGATATTTCTTCAAATACAATAGCACTAAAAGCAGATGATTCACGTTATAATTTTAAAAGTATTTAAAAACTACACAGTTCATATAGCATTCCTTTCATAAAATAATCAAAATAATTTGATTATCTGGAAGAAAATGACTGAAACAGAGTCCTTCCAATGTATTTCTAACCTCCGTAAAACTCCAAACCAAAAACAGAACATTTGATGAAATAAGGATTTCTCAGTCGCTGGGAGTGTTTGAACTTTCAGATGAGAAACGGACTGGCGCTTCTTGCGTTTCCTGTGCATTCAGAGTATGGGTGGCGTCAGGACTCGGGTCTCTGGGATGACTTTACATGGCTTTCACCTTGATTTGTTTCATTTTCATTTGCTTCTTTTCCAATTTCTTTTGTTCACGTCTCAAGGCAGCTTCCTAGAGAGAGAATCCAAACTAACCTCTAAGCACATTTAAAAAAATCAAAACTAGAATACTGCCTATAATATTATTCAAAAACCTAGACTTGCACCATAAATTACATTCCAGAAGATAGTTATAAAAATTGCTGATATCTTTGTTGGTTAATAAAAATTAACTTGAAATGAAACAAAGGTAACTACAATCTCAGGTTAGAAAGAAACGAAATACTGTATTGAAGCAGGCTTTGTTAGTCTGGCCTGATTTTTCCTATACCCAGGGAACACTAGCTCAACTTTCATCATAACAATTATATGAATTTGCCAAGGATTTGTACTTCAGAAAACCCTAAGATCTTTTTTAAAAAACTGATCTGAGAGAGAGGGGTAGGGAGACAGAGAGAGAGAGAGAGACCTCAGCTTGCTGTTCCACTCATTTATGCATCACTGGGTTGATTCCTGTACGTGCCTGACTAGGGATCAAACCTGCTACCCTGGCATTTCGGGAAGATGCTCCAATTCGGGTTTGATCCTCAGTTGGGGCTCGCACGGGAGGCAACTGATTGATGTTTCTCTCTCACACTGATGTTTCACTCTCTTTCTCTCCCCCTCTCCCTTCCTCTCTTTCTCTCAAATCAATAAAGACATATCCTCAGGTGAGGATTAAAAAAATAAAAAATTAAGAACTAGTCTTGAGATTCCAGTTATGTACGAAATAGACACCAAAAACACAAAGTATCAGAATTCTGTAATTCTATAATCAAATATAAAATGTTATAAAACAAGTTTATTTGGACCACAGGCCTCACGTGCTGGCTTCCATTAAAATTCCTACTTTCTTTCTACTTCAGTATTTGGCTTGAAAGATGATAGTGTAACCTTCAAAATGAGGTGGTACTGGGGGAACAGGAAAATTCCTATCCTTTCCAGGCTCAGGCGCAATCTAACACAGTCTGAAGCCCTAGTCTTTGTAGAGCTAAACACTGAATGTCCGGGTACTGAGACAGTGCTAAACTTTTAGCCTGTGTACATTCCTCCACAAATGACCCTAAGAGCCAATATGGAACAAATAGGTACTTTATAAATCTTCGTTTCCCCCAACGATACAAAGTTTGCCTCACCTCCAGCCTGCGCTGTTTCTCAGGATCTTCCTCATTCATGATTCGCTCCTTCTCTGCCCGTTTCTTCTCCTCACGCCGAGACTGTGCAGCTTCCTGTCTCTGCACATGTGTCAGCTTCAAGAAGTTCTCTTCCACTCGAGCTCGGTTCTTATCTGCTTTTTGTTTGCCCTTTCCCCAAGGAACAGAGTTTCATAGGAAATCCATTTTAATCCAACAGAGGCAAATTCCCATTTAGTATTCTTTCATAAAACTACTCCCATTTAGCACTTTCAGGTAAATTAGCAAAGATACAATCACTGAAGTCCTTAATAGATGACCCCCCAGAAGAAAAAATAACAGGTGCCAACTTATAATAAAGGCTGTGGGTCTTACTTCTCTGTTGAGCCGGAACTTTTTGGCTTTGTCAATAGAATAAATCACCATGTTCATCAGGGGTAGCAAAGCCTCCATATCCTTTGGGTAAGTGTTACCTGAGCCAGGCACTAGAAAACAAAGCCATTTTCCTATTGAGTTAACGGCACTATTAATATTTCTGAGTCACCCAACTTTTTTATTTATTTATTAATAAACTCCTTTCTCTAGGTTTCTTAAGCAGCAGAAAATAGAAATTAAAACATATACAAGGATCTCTTAATGAAGAAACCCAAAGGCAGTAAGCAGGCCTGGGGTCAGTTTTAATGGAGTTTTTATAGCTGTCACTCAGGAGGGAACAACACTCTCCCTCCAGGTCATCACTCAGAAAGCAGACAGCCCAGACAGGACATGGAATGCTTACCACTAAATGTGAACAGTAGTGTCCTCTTAGTTTCAGGCAGCTTTAAAGGCTGACCTTCCCTGTCATAAAAGAAAAGGCTATTTAGAAAGTACACAAGAAAGATATTCTCTATGCATGTAAGTTACCCAGTTCACTTAGGTGAACAGACACCTACAAATAATCAGTATAGGATTTGGCTTGGCATCCCCAAGTCAAATATAATCTCAGAGCCTGAAGGAGCTTTACAGGTCATTGATCCACCAGTCTATCTGATGAATGCATTCCCAAGAGATCTTTATCCTATACTTGAACACCTCCAATGATGTCCCCTCCAGGAAAGATCTATTCCATCTCACCTGGGGGATGAGAAATGAGCCAACATTTAAGTGTGAGGCCCGTATTTTAAATAACATTTTTGTTTATTTTGATGAGCTTTTATGTTTTATTTCCAACTCCTATCTTCCTTCCTATAATGAAGTATCTTATTTTTGAGCCAGGCTTAGAATAAATTTAGAAATAATCTACTATAGCATATATAATTTAGTTTCCTTGTAATCTTTGACTATCAACTCGCCTCCCCTCACCCCAAAAGGCTCCATGGTTACCATAATGTGGTACTTTGCCCATGGTGTTGATATTGAGTTGAGCAAGACAAGGATGATGAAACACCATCTAGAGGCAAAAGGATTTGAGTAATTCTGACACAACAAAAATCCAGAATGGCTTTTAATTGCACTCAATTTCACAGCCTTTGAGAGAGTAGCCCTTAACCAAAAACTTAGGTCAGAATCATTTCTACACCAAGGGTAAACTTAAATACGTATGCTCTCCTGAAATGGCATAAGAATTCAAACAACAAATTCAAGGCCTGACTATATACATTTGAAAAATATTACTATAAAGCCAGAAACTCTATGGGTATTGAGGGCATTTGATAATATACTAGGAAAGAATATAATCATCCACTATACAGAGAAGGAAGCCAGAAAAGACCAGATTTGTAATCAATCAAACACAAATCAAACATTACAGATTCCTATCATAAATTGAAAAGAAAAAAAAAAGAACCTAGACTACAAAGGACAAAGAGATTAGCAATTGTATTTTCTTATTATTAGCCATTTTGGAAGATTCTCTTCCATGTGCAGTGACACATGCAAACTGGGGAGGCTTGTTTGTCTCCCATAGGTTTCCAACTACCTTCATGATGCATGTAGTCAAAGCAAAAGAAAACTTGGGAGTTATGAACTTCCTTCACTCATTTGGTAAGGGAAACTGCAGAAGCATCTTGCAGGTGTTTCAACACAGAAAGCTAAAGAGGAAAGTCATTTTCAATATTTGTATTTCATACGTACTCTTGCATAATTTTTGGACCTGAGAACTGGTCTGAAAAATGAATGGATTCAATCTTGTCGGCATAGTGTGTAAGAAAGTGGACCATCTGAAATAGAGAAAGTTATTATTTTTTATAGTAGGGTTTGATACATTTCCCTTTTTTCATGAAGATATTCACTCTTCAATCCTCCTTCCTTTTGTACAATGTCATTAAGGCGAAAGCTTTAAAAAAATTAAATTTAAATAAGGATTTTCACTATAGAGAACTACAATGAAACTAGTATCTTTTCTTTAGAAACACCAATCCTTAAATTATTCTTATTGAGCAGCTGAAAGTATGTCTCAAAATAACGTTCTTAATAAGAATGAAAGCATGGAGATAAAATCTAAAATAATTGTGGAAGAGTCTTCGTCAACGTATCACCTTGACCTTACATTTTTAACTGTCTTTGAGCTATCCTATATTTTTACGATACTAAGATGTGCTATTACCATTATACAACCAATAGAAAAAAAATTGCTCTCTGTACATCCCTTCCTCTTACACTAGCTGAAACTAAAATAACGGACTAAATGACATAGTGCTAAACAGTAAAGTTATAGTCCTTTTTCAAAAAACCTGAAAGCCATCAGCAATCCTAAGAACAAGTTGCTCTTGACATAGAGAGAACTTATTCACTAATCAAATTTTTTTGACAAGTTAACCTATAGCTTAAAGAAAGAACTATAATGTTTTTGTGGGAAAGGAATACATAACCAGTGCACTGTGTGAAAATGGAGAACTTACACAGTGTAACTTTCAGGGTGAGGACCCTGTAGACGCCCAGGTCCGCTCATGCATGCCTCCCACTGCATTTACCTTTGCGTCCATCATCCCCTCTGTGACTTCTCCCATCTCCGACAGGATGGCCAAGGAGTCTGGCAGTCCATACTTTGCTCCAGACTTAGGTTTGTCACTACAGAACTCACTCTA